TAATAATTTTTGTGTTTTTTGATTCCCTATTTAAAATGACTTGCCTATAATTTCTTTTTGCCACAGTTTATGCAATATAATCTCTATCTTGTACACATTTAAGTAGTATTATGGAACTTATATTGCTGAGTTTGCTTAAGGAATCCCTCTATACTGTTTAGTTTTTGTACAAGCTGGGAGGAGGGAATGTAGATTGAACTATTGCCTTTATCACGTTGGCTTCTGGGCTTTTGTGGGGCATTTTATTGAGTGATGATTGATATGGGAAGATTCAGTTTATGTTGGTGCCAGGCCTAGAGTGTTACTATTTGGTTGTGTGGGAAAACAAGCTAAACAAGCCATGAGGTGACAATCAGCAAAGAGTGTTCCTCTATGGTCTCTGCTTCAGTTCCTACCTCCAAATTCCTCCTGCCTTTAGTTCCTGTCATGACTTCCCTTAATATAAACTATAGTCAGAAATAAACCCTTTCCTCATTTACATTACTTTTGATGGATGCATCATCACAGCAACAGAAGAAAACTAGGTCATATTTTTTAAAGCCTTATGCTACAGGCCACACTGTGCAAATTTGCTTTGGTGTTCTGTATAATTTCTTTTAAACAGTGCTCAACAAGAAGAGAATTCCATAGCAGAAGTTTTCATGAACTTTCTTAAATTTGCAGAGTAGCTCAAGGAAATCAGAATGTGGGGAAGAATGTGGTGCAAAGAAGTGAATAACAAAGGAAATTTGCATCCAGTCCAGTGGTGATTAAAGTGGCAAATACCAGTGACCTCTTACTGTCATAACAAGTTCAAAGGCCCATCTTTGAAATGGATTGTCAGCTATATGCTGTAAATTGCAATAGCAATGCAGACATAGTGAATGCAAACGACTGTTTTTAATCCAACATGTAGAATCACAGTACCAAAGCTGCCAGGCACTCCTGGTCTCCAGCTATAGAGACTTCCTGGTTTATTATCCCATGCCAATGAAAATTTAAGATGTGAACTCTACTGAGACTAAGCAAAGTGTCATCTATCTAATAAATGCACTACACCTCTCTGTTTGCTCCAGTATGGAGTACTGTTTTTCTCTGTGGATTCACTATCAAAGAATAAATGACTTAGCCTTTTTATTTTAATAGTAAATTAAAAACAGTTTCTGTCCCAATATTTATTTTCTGAACTTGGCTCCTTTGCTGTTTTTGTTTTCTATCTGGTGGCATCTAATTGTTCTTGTTATGTGATTCTTATGATCCCTTATTTGACAATTTAAGTTGTCACTCCTTCGTAGCTTCTAGTCTTTTTTTCTGATCTAGGATCTCGATGATCACTTCCCTTGAGGTATAAATAACCACATGCTTCTATAGAAATGAGATTATCTTGCTCACAATGGAACAGGTGCACAAGATTCTCTCTCTCTCTCTCTCTCTCTCTCTGTCTCTCTCTCTCTCTCACCTGTCACAAATACATGTGTCAGAAATACTATTATCAAATTCAAATCTTTAGAAGGGCAAATAGAAATATTTAATTAAAACAAAACTATTTTTAATTGAAAGCCTGAAATAGCTAAATGATTTGAATCATAGATAGGCATCATCTTGCAATAGCTGCCAGTAGTTACTTGGAGAGTTCCAAGTGCTTAGAGCTGCCAAGAATGCAGATGTCCCTATGCCCAACCATAGCTCCCAGAAATTTTATTGACTGCTATTTGTAGTACATTTGACTTTCAATTTCTAAATTATCTTGAAGGCTTGAATTTAAACGTCCCTTTACTGGACTACGTGCTATTGTGTCCTTGTGATAAACTCCTATGAATTTATTTTAAATGACTTTTATGGAGTTATTTATCTGCTTCAAGTATGCATAGAAACAAAACCTCATTTTTAATTACATTTGAATACAAGAAGCCTTTCATCACTAAATCCTTAGAAAATATATTTTGTGGAAATTTTAAAAATCACACTGAAAATTCTCTATATGTATTGGCATGTAGTTAAATGCTCACTTATATTATAAAAGCAGACTATGCAATATGGCAATGGTATGTGAATTATGAAAATAATTACTCTTTGATCAAAAGGCCTATCTTTTTACATTGATTATGTTATTGCTAAAATAATGAATCGGTGGGGGCAGGGAAGGAGGGGAAAGAGAGGGAACTGGGATTGACACGTAAAAGAAACTTGTTTCTAATTTAAATTAAAAAATGTAAAAAAATAATTATATCTACTTAGCCCTAATAGAGTTCCAATGGATCAAAGTAATATTTCCATATCCTCTCACAAGTCAAAGACAGTTGGTAAATTACCTAGAGCAATGATTAAAAAAAAACTTGTGTATATGTTTTATTTGACTTTATTTTATTAAATGTATCGAAAACAAAGTAAAATTGTAGTAACGGGTGAAAGAAATTTATTTTTCATGAATAAATTATATTATTATAGTAAATTTCACGGGAGTAGAAGAGAGAGAAAGAGAGAGAGAGAGAGAGAGGAGAAAAGAGAGGCATTCATTCTAATAAATAAGATTATAATAATTTCTAACTTTAAACCCAAGAACTGAATAAAATATTTCTATTATTGTTACAGTCCTGACTTTGATTTCTTGTTATTAAAACTCTAATTATTGATAGATGATGTCTAATAACAGTTGGTTGTTATAGCATACTTAAGAACAATTCTAAGTCTCTTTATAAACCTTTATCATGGAAATAGTTTACATGAGGGGAAATGACATCAGCGTTTATCTACTAAACTCAACTGAATACTTTTGCCTGGGTTGGTTTTATTTGTTGAGTTGTATTGCATAAATACAATTAATGCATAAGTAAATATGGCAATGGTATTTTTAACAGCAATTATAGGAATATGTTGTTACTGAATTTAAATTTTGAATATAAAGGCAACAAAATCTAAAAATTGTCTCCATCTCATGAAACCAACACTCAAAAAACAGGGCCAAAACGATATTGTTTCAGTTTGTAGTATCTAAGTCTCCACCACTCTCTCCTAGCATTAGCAGCATCAAAAAGTAAAAAAAAAAAGCACACTCAAGCAAAGGTGACAGCTTTTAGTAAAGCAGGACTAGACATGAGGCTGATAGGCTGGCCTGGGCCATGGAGCAATGTTCTTGTACTTGTAATCTAAGTGCTGAGACAAGCCAAGAACACTAGGAAAGTTACAAAGTTACATGTAACATGAATTAATAAAAGATCCAGAGACTGATACTGGTGTTCAAACTTCAAGCTGAGTATCAGAAAGCAAAGCAGCTGGCCACTAGCTTCTTCCCTCAACCTCAGGCTGAATGGCTGATCCTATCTCCACAAGCCCTCATCAAGCCTGAAATGTAACCTCTGCTCAGTGTGGCTGGAGAATGAATGCCTTTCTAAGATCTTGCTTATGTTTTATATACTTCCCTAATGTTGAGATTATAGGTGTGAGCTATAATTCTCTTTTAAACTGATTCATTCTTGTGTAGATCTGTCTATCTCTTAATCCTGACTCCTGGGATTAAAGGTGTGTCCCACCACCTCCTAGTTTCTTACTGCTGAGATTAAAGGTGTGTGCCGAGTTTCTAAGGCTTGTGGATGACTTTGCTTTTTTGAATCCTCAGTCCAGCTTCAATAAATAATAAGTAATATATCACTATAGTCACATGCATAAGATTTTAACCATTGCCCTATCTGGAAGACTATGTGCTAAGCAGGAACAGGAGCAGTGGACCCATTGACAGAATCTGAAATTTGTGTCTGCCATGATCTACTATGTTTCTAGGTAACTATGATTTGAATTAATTTTATAAAAATATACAATTATGGATATTTGCATTTAAAGAAATGTTACAGTATCAGTTTACTTATCAAGTGATAATCAAATACTCAGACACTTATGAATACTTGGAATTAAAGTATGATGATGCTTTGAGAGGAAAAGGATGGAGAGGGAGAAATAAATTAAACATATGGACCGGTATATTCTTGTCGGAAAAGTTCATTGGTATTGTTTTTAGTCATGCTTATCTGTCTTTATAGGCACTTGGAAATATATTAGAGAACCCTTTATTTTCCTTTCTAAATTTCATATAAAATGCAGTAGACACATTTCAAGTAAGATTCAAAATAGAATGATTTCAGTCGTAAGCCTGGACCTGACTCTGTATGACATCATAATGGAATTCCATTACAGTTCTCCAGAAATTACTATAAATGCTGTTCATAAAAATAAATGGAAGTGAGTGTATTGAAGCACTAAATCACTTCTTTGCTGAATTCTGCCACAAGTTTACATGGTTTCTACCAATAAAATGCATTTCATTAAACAATTTACTTCATATTTTTGGACATTTACTATCAGTATTTTGAAAATCAAAAGTAATTTCCAGTGTTGTAATATTCCCAGAAATGTATGCATTATATACAATTTACTTTTATATAACTATAATCTGAAATTATACACTTATGAGTGAATTTTCAACATCCAAATATGCAAATTAAAATTGACGTTCTTCCAAAAGATATTATAGAGTCACCTAACATGACATTTTCAATAGTCTATGCTAACTAATTTCATTAACATTAAGTATCAGTGGGTTTGAAAGAGTAAGAGCTTGTTTTCACTCTAAACTTGAGGCTACCTACAAAACCTGCCATTAAATAACTACCTGCATCTTCGAGATATAACTTTGAGGGAATTCATTAAAAAAGAAAGATTTAATTTTACATATCTTTATTTCCATGTTATATTTAATTGAGATCAATTCAAATTTATTGCCTCATTGTGTTTCCTACTGAATAATAATTTTAAGGAAAGGAAAAATAGGTACTTTGAACTACTCTTTATTTTGTAATCTGAGAGATTTCTTAAGTTAAAGGGCACTGTGAGAAAAACATTGATTGTACATGTGGAGGAATTTATGTCTTGGAAAGAAACGCAGACAGCTGAGGGAAACCCAGTGTCTAATGCTGTTCTGAGGGAGTGGGATCGCTTCCTTATCTTGGGCTCTCTTGTTTGCTTTTCAGTTGCTGCGAATGTGGCTGTGGAAGGGCTTCTTCCCTGTGCGCTGTTGCCCATCCAAGCCTAATATGGTTAGTGTTCCCTCCCGCCTCTCACCTGTGTGAAGTCCTGCTCTCTAACCTACCTCCAGCATTTCTTTACTTTCTCCAACTGTGTTCATCTTACCAGTTAGTGATCCAGCTACGCTTTAAAGTTGAGAAGAGTAGACTACACTTAAAGTTCGGAACAGTAGATAGCCCTCATTCCAGGAAAAATAAACTCCTGAGGATTTTGACAACGGGTCATTTTAAATAAAATACTATGAGCAGAGCAGAGTGCATCTGTCAAGATCTATCCCATTTAACATGTCACTGTTTTTGTTGTTCCATTCTATGAAATCCATATCATACATGGAAGTACAATGCTACTTCTGTCCAGACAAAATCGCCCTTCTGTCTCCCAGAACCATTGAATGTCCATAATGTGACCACAGTCTTCTATCATCATAATTATCATGGATACATGTGACATTGATGAGGAAATACAATATAATTATAATGGAATTGAATTATTTCTTATATCTGAAGTGATATTCCTATTTTGATACCACTAAAGTTATATATATATATATGTATATATATATATCAATGCCCAATTGAAATAACCTGAATTATTTGTAAACAAAAGAAAATTAAAATGTGGTTGCTTATAATTTTAATACTTTAACATGGGGTAGACAGGAATACTGCATTGTTACATTTAGAGGGACTCATGCATCACAGTGAGCTAGATTGTAAAATAATCTAGACATTTCTTTTGTAGGTTAGAGTCCCAACCCTTGCATTTGTGTATAACTTTCATTTGTAGTCAAAAATGTCAATAAAAGTCAGTTTAAAAATGCATTTAGAAGATTAAGTGATGACTTTTTTGAAATCTAAGAGTGATTTTTGCTGTATCTATATTGTGTGTCTGAATTTGGCTTTGTGAATGTGTGTGCAGTGCTCTCAAAAGCCAGAGGGAGGCACTGGATCCTCTGTGCTAGAGTTGTGTGTGTGACTCAATGAGTTCTATGAACTCTATCTGTCAAAAGGAGCAACAAGTGAACTAGCCACTGATCCAGGGGAGGCATTTTAAATTGCTACTCTCATTATCAATGTAGTAATCAAAAATTATTTGAGAATACCTGATTTTTGCTGATGAGTTAAATTTGTGTGTGTAAATGGGGCTCATACATTTAAATCTGAATAGATCATGATTTCTTTGATTCATCCTCATCTCAGATTTTCAACTTAACTACCTTCTTGCTCATGTATTAATTACATGTTTCTTGGAATAGTTGTACAAACCTTACAGGAAATGTGAAACCAATCTTCTTGTATCATGCCTTATGAAATGTATTGTTATATCAATATTCTAAGTGAATTAAATTTTAATTTAACAATGAGAATAGACTCCAATCCATCTTTATATTATTTAAAGTAAGAAAATCTTCAGTTTTCTATTATTGGTGATCACAAAAGGATATCATGGCTAAGTTAAAAACGCAAATTCTCAGGTACTACAATGTTTTACAAAGGCTTTTTTTATAAAATATTCATCATGCCATTCCCACAGTTGCAGAGATTATTTTTCCACATAGAAGCATTTTTCCTGTGAGGAGTACAAATGAGAAGATTCAGTGAATTTTATTCGTAGTTTACATGTCCCTATCCACAAAGATCTGGCATCTTGGCTTCCTTCTATTTATGTAAGATAAGTATGAATGAAGATTATAACTTTCTGGTAGTAAGACAACCTAAATGTCCAATAGCCCATTTATGCTCACTTGCATATAACCTTGCCATACACTTATTGAAAAAACGCTATCCCATAAAAGAAAATTTATTCATCCAGTGTTTAGTTGATATACTGAAAGCCTAGTGTTCTTATTTTTTGTTTCCTTTTATAAAGCAAACTGAACTTTCATGTAAAACATCTGTGTTTAAGTGGATAAAACTCTTCATCATGTGTTCCCAACTCTACCTACTGGAATTTTCTTACTCTCCAGTGCAGACTGAGCTTGAGTCAGTTTGGTACCTCGGGTGACCCTAATTCTTTGAGTTCCTCCTACTGCCATATGCTGAATCTTAACACAAGAGACCAAAGTCCTGACTTAATTGGAGACACTCTTGAAGTGTAAAAGTCAATTTTTTTCACAAAATCTGTGCCTTAATTTTTTAAGATTCCAGCAATAAAATTCCCTAAATTGAACATTATGCAAAGGTTAAGGGCATTAATATGTCAGAATAGAAAATGAGTGTGTTGGCACAAAGAGATATTTTTTTAAGAAAGAATACTTTGGGTGTGGTGGTATAGGCCTTTTAAATTTAGCACTCTGGAGGAAGAGGATGGTGTATCTTTGTAAGTTTGGGACAGTTTATCATATCAAATTTCAAGCCAGCAGGGGAATACATAGGGACACATTGCTTAGAATACTTTATTTTGAAGTTTCTATGAGTAAGACATAAATGCCAATGCTTTGTAAATTGTTGAGGGCTCAAAAGTTTTGACATAAAGTTCAACAAAAGCACATTATAATAAAACTTCAAAATAAAAGAGTGATAAAGAAATATACACATAATCAATCCCTCTTTACACTATTGTAATCAATGCAATATTAGTAAATTTTTTCATAACATTTTACTATAGATTAAGATAATGTGATACTTTGTCATATGAAGAATGTTGTTTGAGGCAAGTTTTATACTTTCTTCTTGGTTATTCCATTAACCAGGCATTTCCTCATTAGGTACAAAAGAGTCATTAATAATTTACTGTTTCTATGTATTGCTTGGTACTCTGAAGTACCTTACACTTCTATCCCAAATTTATTATCAAATTTCAATATATGCCCAGAAATAAATTATTAATATATACCATCATCCCTACATAATTGTTTATCTGTTCATGGATTATGGGTTTTCCAAAGTCCAACTAGAAATTTGATAGCTAGAATCAAATTATCAAAATCAATATTACTGTTATAAAGGATACAACATTTTGATTCTTAGGATTGTTAAGGAAAACAATGGTCATGGATGTATTTACATGCCAAGCACGTCTTTGGGATTTTAGTGAATAATAACTAATGCACATGACTGCTTATGACTGTCCTATATTATCTCAGTTACAGAAAAATAATTTAAAATATCTTTATCTTGAAAACTGGACAATAAATTACCAGATGGCTTCTGTATAAACAAACCCTACATCTAGTGCTATGGCAATTATTTCAAAGATCAATAAAACTAGCTATATGAAGAAAAATAATGAATGTCTTCTCTGTTCAAGAAAAAAATAAATTTGGAACAGAGTAGGAACAGCTTATATGCTGAGTGACATATTCATTGACTGTTTGACTGGTTAAAGTGACACATTTTGAACAGGTAGACAAGATGATCCTGACTGAACATGATCCTGTGCAAAACTTTGTTAATGAGCCTGCCACTGCCAGCTGCACTTTCACTGACTGTGTCTTGTTGAAGCTTGTTATAATAATGCTTTACATGTTCCAGAACTTAATTTTATGTGCTAATGTGACATGCAGCATATATGATACAGAGCTTAAGAGACACCTATAGTGTAAAACAACCCCTATATATTTTCCTCCTGACTCTCAACACCAGGTATTAAATGTTAACTGTTCCTCACCAATATATTCCCAGATAGTTGTTCAGATGAGGTCTGAAATTTTACTTCCATATCATGCAGAGGTTTTACATGACCTATTTAATGGTAAAAGTTATTGAAGATGCAGTGTTGGAAGTTTATTATTAATATATTTACTTTTCAAAAGGAAGTTTTGAGAGTGGAAATGGATGCTTGTATCTTGTTTGCTGATGTAAACTATAAGAATGCATAAGCCTTTTATATTTCCCTAAAATTCCTACAACAAAGTCTTTGCCAGGATTACTAAGATAACACAAATCTCAGGATAAATGTATATGATTGTGTTTAGAGCACTGTTGGTAAGAAACAGCAGTAACTGCTCTCTTGAGTCACTTAAATTAGAAATAAAAAGAAATACATGATACCTAACAAACAATGTAGGAAAATAACCCAAATTATCTGGAATGAACAAAATTCTATTTCTTTACAATTTTGTGTATTTGTTTGTACACTTTTCTATCCATCTCACGGTGATGAGGTGATTCATGTCTTAAGGGCTTTTTAATAAGATTCAAAACATGCCAGATCCCTAGGGTGCATTCTCCTTTTCTAAAAACAGTACATTTTAATCACATTATATAAGTTCTCCAAAAACTGTATCAGGTGTGTTTTACTATTTAATTTCCAGTTCTTTAACGCAACACTGGTATTTGTACTCTTGAAAAAAAAGTGGCATTAAGATATTTTTTGTTTTATCTGTTGAATAATATCTAGGAAACTGCAAAACAACCTCTGTATTGTCTTTATTCTATTGTACATGAATAGTTTTAAATATCTGCATGTGCAAAACCAAAGAGACATCATGGTGTAGAACTATTTGACACTGTACCTATAGCACACAATAATCATCAACCAAATTTGTAATGAAATACATATTCATTCTGGTTGCACTTTCTTAATGCAGTAATAAATGAAACTTTAATATCTGATGAATTCAATTTTGTTGTGGGATCTTATGAATAGTAAAATCACTTCCTTTGAGTTTCACTGAAAATAATTTAAACATTTTTATTTTTTCTTGCTGTTTAATGTTATATGGTTAATCATGTACCACATCAACTCGGTTTTCATCAACATAGTCATCTTCCAAAGACCTGTCATTGTGTAGGCACAATCAAACCATCATCCAGTCATTCATTTATTCATTCATCTATGTAAAAATATGTTGAATGCCAACTCCAAATCAGATACTAGGTCTCTGATGAAATTTGTAAGTGAAAACTAGTTCCTGTCATTTAAGTAGCTGACAAATGCTGAAGGAAAGTCATACTAAAATGGGTGTATTGCACTACTGTGTAAAAATCACATCCTGAGAGAATAGAGATTCCTGCAGCTGAGGTGTTAGGGAAATACATAAAACAAATATTGAAAAGAATTTCAATATTTGGACATTGTTATAGAGAATATCCTTAAAAAGAACAGATAAGTCCAGATATATGAAAACATGCTGAGCTATCAGAGACTTTAGATAATATGTAGTAGGGAAAAATAAATTGTAGCAAAGGATAAAAGATACTTTCAATACTTTACTAATTTTATTAAAGGCTTTAAGTAGGAAGATCATTTGATAGACTAATATCTTAAGTGATAAATTTTGGCAGTATGACTATCTAGTACACTTTCAAGGGTCACCAGGAAGTGGCAAACATCTTTAATCCTGGAACTCTGGAGGCAGTGGCAGAAGGATCTTTGTGAGTTGGATGCCAGCCTGGAGTACATCGTGACCACTAGGACAGCCTGATATCCATAGAATAAAAAAATAATAAAGAATAGTTAGTATACTTTACAAAATAAGTTACAGAATAGATAGACAATGTTCTGAAGGCACAGACTTCCAGATAATAAATGCAAAGGTATTCATGAAGAAGTGCTAGAGATGCTAGGGAGTCTGTATCATAGAGTGCATATTGTAGAACGCTTGGGATATGACAAATGAGTCATAGCAAAGAATAAGAAAATTGTTCAAATATTATGAAAGGTGGTCATGTTGGACTTAGTCACAGAAAATGGAATGAAAATGGTTGAAAAAAGTAAAGAGAAATGGTTTAAACATTAAACATTGCTTATTTGTTAGGTACATTGAGTTGGAATGGCCCTAGAATATATTAATAAATCATATTTTTACAAAGTGAGAATACAATTTTCTAAGAAATTAATTCAGAGCTATTAAAGAAAAAACATGAAAATGGTTGGATAGAATGAAGAATAATAGAGATCTTTGAACATATCCATTCATAAAAAGAGAAAGAAGAAAAAGGAATCAGAAAAAATAAAAGACGTATTTTAGTGAGTAAAAATAATTCAAAGTAATATGTAGTCACCAAATTAAAAGTTCTCATTTATGAAATATAGATTATGTCAGAATGAAAGAAGTTTTCCAAACCTTGCAAATTATTGACTAGTAAAGACAACAAGAAATGAAGATTTTATGGATAGAGGTAAGAGGCAAGATTGATTTCTGCTGAATTATACAATGGACTGAGCATACATGACTGAAAAGAGCTGCTGAAGAGGCTAGAGTAAGCATTGAAGAAGTGGGAAGGGGACAAGTAAAAGAAAGAAGGAAAGGAAGGAAGGAATGGAAGGAGGGATGGAGGGAGGGAGGGAGGAAGAAAGTAAGACCAAAAAGTTTCAGGATACCATGGAAACAGAGGAAAATATTGATCAATTACAACTAAAAAGGGCAGTGGCAAATTAGCTGGAAATGAAGGAGAGAACAAAAGACGGCTGGTGTGAGGCATATGAGGAAATTACTTTTAGTATAGACTTAGATGGTTTAAGACAGTTGAATCTAGAGAACATGATTTGTTGAACATCAAAACTAGCAACTTGAAAAGTGCCTTCCATTCCAAATGAGTGTTTCTGTCATTTCTTATTGCTAGTAGGGTAACTGGCCCTTGGTTTGAGAAGATTCAATTGCAATCAGTGCTCTATGCGTGATATAGTTGATTTACCACTTTTAGATGTGGCTAACTGTGGTTCCCTTTGTTCTAGGAGGTGTGGCTACAGCAAAGCAAAGCAGGATCCAGAAGAGGAAAAGATGCACTTTCATAATGGGCACAGTAAGCAAATTGTGCAAAATAAAATGAGAGATTTTATTATTCAGATTGCTCCTCGTGTTAGGCGATTTGTAATTCTTGACCAAATCTATTATGTATAAAACAAACAAGTACTCCTAGCATATATAACTCCTGGACTTGGGCAACCTCTGAATGGTTTATTCAGTCCAAAACTAAATTAATTTAATCCATTTTAATCATTAAAATAAATTTTCTTGCCTACCATAAAAACACTACTGTAGTTCAAATTAAAATCCCAGGTGAATTCCAAGTTCTGTGAAGAGTGAATAGAAATCTATCATTAAATCATGCCAGCGGGCCTAATGAATGAATGTCACTCAGCTGTTTCTTTTTGTAAGACTGCAATGGGAATTTCCTGGGGTACAAAGCCCTTCTCTCAGCAGCCTTGGTTAAGACGACCTGAAAAGGACGACACTTTTCAAGAAATATGTGAAATTCAGTTACAATAATAAGCTTAAAAATAGCATAATGAGCTTTAATTGGTATTTTATAGTGTCCACTTTTTAGTAAGTGTCCACAACATGAGTTGATGTGAAAAATAGGTGAGGGCAGACTTATTTTGCTTCAGTCTCTCTCTAAGACCTTACCCATCATGCTGGAAAGCATGGAATGTGCTTTCCAGTTTTATGTGTCTGTTATCCATCTTTAAAAAGCAATTCTGGTGTGATTATCAGTAACTGAAACTCAGATGCTTTACAGATCTCTTGGAACAGACACCATGTGAAAAGAAGTTCCGTTTACCTTTTGATTTCTATTCCAGCAACACCAGGAGTAATTTTAAATGTTCTTTGGAATCAGACTTAATAGTCTATTACAATATATAAAAATGACCCTATAGAACAAGCCAACAAATAGGCCATTTTTTGTGCCCTCTTCAATCATCAAAGTGTTCTCAATATGCATTGGAGTCTCACAGTCTGAACAGTAACTTGGAAGATGATTACATAGATATGCTAGCATATTAAACATTTCTTGTGTAGGGGAACATCAATCTTTTTAAGTTATAAAAGTAAAATAGCTGTGGACATAACTGTCGTAAATCAGAAGAAAGTCATTTCTTGAAACTCAACTCCTTTTAGAAGTTAGAGAGTTCAGTCACACTAGAGTGTTAGCAAAGTTGATAATTAAGTACATCCACTCTACTCCATTAATGTCCATGTATTGTTACAGTAAAACTGCCAGGAGTAAGAACCTACATTGATCCACACACATACGAAGATCCCAATCAAGCTGTCCATGAATTTGCCAAAGAGATCGAAGCTTCCTGCATCACCATTGAGAGAGTCATTGGAGCAGGTATGCGGACATCTACATTCTGACCTCTTCTCCTTGTTTATACTCAGAATGTAATATATCAATGTCCTGCTCTCACACATAATGTTCTTAACCTCTTGTAATTGATTTCCTCTCAAAACTGTTTGTAACTGTTCACCTTTTAAGACAAACTTCTAAGTAGCTCATAAATGAACAAATGTCTGCCTTCTCATCAGAGAGACCAAAAAAAAAAAAAGAATCTTTTCCCATGTAGTGTTGCATATATGTATCTACACTGAATTTATAATACTGGAAAGTATTTGCTTTCTTCAATACAACTTGATCATGTGCTTATATAACTTAATTAATCTGTGCCTTGTTCCCTTTTCTTTTCTTAATTTTTTCATCAGTAATAAGTACTGGTAGACCTCTCACAGCAAAGTAAAAACAAGATGAGTTAGAGTCAGTGTTGTTTTGTTTTCTTAATTTCTTTCTAATGTTACCATTTGGATTGTTTATATTAAATGGATGAAACTAGTAAACTCTAAAGTGTTTTTTGATCATCCGTACTAGGTATTTCCCAATGTAACATTTACTTTCATTAATTCTGCTATGCATGTTTGGTCTCACCTTTAGTTTATCTCCTTCCATCTGAACCTTAATGCTTCATGAATTTAGAATTTTATTAGAGTAAGAATTCTAAAAGAGTTTATACATTATTTTTTATCTTTATCGAAGGTGAATTTGGTGAAGTTTGTAGTGGACGTTTGAAACTACCAGGGAAAAGAGAATTACCTGTGGCTATTAAAACGCTTAAAGTAGGCTATACTGAAAAGCAGCGCCGAGATTTCCTGGGTGAAGCAAGTATCATGGGGCAGTTTGATCATCCAAACATCATCCATCTAGAAGGCGTTGTGACCAAAAGTAAGTACAGTGGCACAGTGTGTGTGTGTGAGAGAGAGAGAGAGAGAGAGAGTGTGTGTGTGTGTGTGTGTGTGTGTGTGTCAGAGAGAGAGAGAGAGAGAGAGAGACATCATGGGTAACTGTTTAAATTATCATTGTCTAAACTGAAATATTAATTTCTCAACTGGTAAAAATTACATTATATTTTAGTAGATTTTTTCCTAAAGATGCTTTGTGGTGAGCACAGATTTTTCATTTTATAAGTTGTATATTCATTTATCATGAATTCACTGCCAGAAAACAAAAATAGATTTGGGAAAAACACAAAAATAGATTATGTTTTTTATGTTTTGGTTGTTAATGTAAATTTTTATTTTTACTTGTGAGCCTAGCAGCCAAGTCATATGTCAGCCCCCATTTACATATTTTTAATTTGTTTAGTTTTTTGTTACTGGGAATTAAGTTTTCTCATCAATAACCTAGAAAAATAAAATAAATTAATCCATAATTTATTTTTAGGTACAGAATGTATAGTTTATTCAGAAGTACCAGAGTTTTACATGCATTTAAGTATGTGTTAGCATCTTATGAATGCATTTCTATTCTATGCTTTTCCATGAAGGATGTCAAAAACTTTAAGCTTTCAATTGCTCAATAAAGAATTTCACTGGTCCTCCACTGGCCCAGGAATGATTTTCTTACATACAGTTTTGTCATAAGTCACTTAGTTTGCACATAGTACTCAAAATGACCTGGTCAAAGACTACTATTTGACATGATATTCACATGAATGCCCATGTGTATGTGCACAGAAAGACTAAAATATATAAATAAATGTAAAACAATTGCATTAAACCAAAATCAAATGAACATAGAGATACAAGAAAAGTGGCTAAGTAATCATTGGTCACATTATGAGTTTTTTTTTTTTTGGTCTTTTTTATTTTTATTTTTTCTTGTTTTTTCTATTTTATTCTTTTTCTTTTAATTTTTTTGATTTTTTAATTTAAATTAGAAACATGAATACTTCACATATCAATTCCAGCTTCCTCTCCCACCCCTCCTCCCTTATCCCTCCACCAACCACCCCAGCCTCCCACCCAATCCCGACATCATTCCCCAGGGAAGGTGAGGCCCTCCTTGGGGGGATCTCAAAGTCTGTTATTGTTATTTTATCCAGGGCAGGACCTATGCCCTTCCCCATGTGTCTAGGCTGAGAGAGAACATACCTCTATTTGGAATGGGTTCCCAAAGATCATTCATAAACCATGATAAACACTGATCTACTACCCAAGGCCCCAGTGATTTCTGTGGCCTCCTCACTGAAACTACATTCATGGTTAATGTTCTCACATTTGCACACATTTTTTCAGTTCCCTAGCAAAATAATGAGGTTTTTTGTTGGGTGGCCTTAATGCACAGAGTATTTAAGTAAACTGATTTTATCTAAATCTATGCCATTACATAGCTACTTTATTTAAATACCTTATGCCTTACTGTCACAGCGAAAAGTAAATAGACCTACCCTAAAGGACAGTCATAGGGATTAAATTATGCTCTTTTATGCATGTTGGTGAGTAAATGTATGTGACCAAAAATTTTATTATTGAACAGGTACATATTTCCATGTATTAAACTAAATGTGGTTCAGAGTAGTAAGCAATGCCCTAAGTTTTAGAGATATATTCATATATATTTATATATCCTTGATTTATTATAGGTCATATTTGTGCAACTATATACTGAGGAATTTAACTGAGACAGGCAAATTCCTTATATATTTTTATGGACTTTAAACCTTTATTATTAGGATCTAATGCCAATGAAAACACACATGATCATATGCAGATGATGTGAATTCTATTATAAGAGAGATAGCACTGCAGTAGAGAAGATAGTTTTCAATTTTCATTCTCTTAATGAAATATTCTGCTTGATGTTGCTACCCAGAGGAATGCTACGTATAAGGAAATCAAATGTAAAAGCTGAAAATATGTCTTTGGTTTCAACTTTACGGTATGTGTGAGTTGAAACTGTATTTTCCCTTTTTTAAATGCAGCCTTGATGTTCAACTTAGGAAGTCTTCAACTTGTTTTCAATTTACCATGTTGCGACTCACTTTATTTGTGTCCTTAATTTCATGCTCTCTGATCTGATGCTAATTTATTCAGCAATTATTCTCAACCTGCAGCACACAGATAATGAAACATAAGTGCAACTAACTCTTGTGATTTTTCTGATTGAAACTAAAGTGGGAGTATGGAGTAGCACTCCTATGGATGGTGTCCTTGAAAGCCTTCTCTTTATTCTATTACCACAGGTGATAAAAGATTGAAGACCCATTTTATATTTATATACATATATAATGTGTGTATGTATGTATGTATATGTATACATGCATATACGTATCTATAGTAGAGGAGTCACAGGACTTTAGAAACACATAAGTTCCAGCTTAATTGACTCATTTGTAACACAAGACACTTTGATGTTCATATACGGTGGCAACTTTTACTATTTAATAAGATCCAGGTAAAAAAATGAAGACATAAGTTATGCATTTTTCCCACTGTTAGGATGCTTAGCTCTTTGAAGTGTGTGTATATTTATGAGGGAGGACTGTACATGTGTTTATGTGCATACATGCATGTGAATGCCAGGGCAAACTCAGGTGTTATTTCCCTGGAGCCATTTACTCCTTTTCTCCAGTTTTGTTTTCCCTGGGCCACAGTGTCTTACTGACTGGTTGCATACCATGTAGGCTAGGTAGGTTGGACAGTGAGCTCCTGAGATCTATTGATGTCCTCTCTGCATTCCTACAGTTACAAATGCAAACCACAATGCTGATTGCTTTAGCTTGTATCTTGGAAGTCAAATCCAGGTTCTAACAATGGCATTAGCAGCAATTTACATTTTACTTTCCGAGCCTTCTCCCCACTCTAGTTACTTAGTTATCTTTATTTCCATGGGATGAGACAATAGCTTTGTCAATAAATTTCTACCGAGGTATGGATGAGGATCTCAGTTCAGGCTCTAACAGTCATCTATAAACTCTAACATAGTGGTGACAGTTTATAATTTCAATGCTGGGTAACTAGAGACAAGTAGATCTCTGGGACTCACTTACCAGTCAGTCTAGTGAGAGGCTGTTTCTTAAAAAACAATCATGGTTCTGTTTCTCAATTCAAGATACTCTATATGAGGTTGGCTTATGGCCTTGATGAACAGAGCTACATATATGTTTGTCTGTGTTCATGAACATATCACACGCACAATGTCTTTTCCTGGCAGTGGTAATTAGCTAAGCGTAAACAAAAGAATAGAAATTTCTATTGTCTAGTTTTATTTGTTAATTAGAATAATGTAAAAATGAATTTACTTTTATTATGAAATTGACAAATTTAACCCAATGTTGGAATAACTTTAAAGCAGTAATTTCAATTCTCCTTCCACATACTCAGATTGATTGACAATTGATCACTAATATATTCTGAAATTTTTGATGGCCAGGAAACAATGATTACTATTTTTCAAATATCTTATTGCTTTCTTATGAGGTCTTTCTTTTAAAATCGCATAATGTTTTTATCACTTCTTTGAATATATTATACAATATGTCCTGATCTCATTTACTTCCCACTCTTCCCCCTCCTCATCTCTCTACTTCTCCCTACTCCTAAATATTTGAACCATTTATTTATCTTTTTCTCTTTTCCTTGGAAAAACAGTCTCACTGCATGTGTCTAGGTCCTATGGCTCTCACAATGAGGCCATGTGTCCTCTTCGATGATGTTCTCCGAGCCTTAAGTGGGAATGTATTACTCGGGCCAGGGGTTGCCACAGTCAGCTTGTTTAAACTCCGCATTTAAATTTATTCTGAACTCTTTAACAGTGTTTTCTGCAAAAGGAAGTTTATTTGATGAAGGATGAAAGTTACACCTAGCTTAGCTATAAGGATAAATATTTAGAATATAGTTAGAAATTGCACTGTTAAGTGGTGATAGTAGGCTCTCCTCGGGAGTTCTATGACCTCACCAGGGTAGATGAGTAAATTTACACTTCCAGAATAATTTATTCCTTATAGTGAGTGTTAATGCCAATTGTATGGCTGTTCATTATCCCCCCAGGAAAAGTTGCCACTATGGCACATTTTGGAATATCTTGACTGACAAGCTACTGCTGCTATTTGTAAACATTTGAGAAGGATAGGACTTTAACTGTTCTTTTCCTTTGGCATCTTACATTACTCCTTAAAGCATAGTTAGAGATAATCCTAAGGGAGGAGGCTTCCAAGTCAAATCCAGGAAGATTCCTTCACAGCCCCTTGTCTGAGCAATGTGCTGTCTTCAGCAATAGGATCTTAGATAATTTCTTATTAGACCCTTGTTTATATTTTAATTAGTGTTATTCCAACTGCCTTCAAGCTATTTTTTACATTTTTGGCAATTTCACAGCAAAGTTTGCTTACCTGTTGCCCTTAGACTTTATCAAATAGTGATTTTCTGCTATGTTTCTGTATATCAGCAAGCAAACAGCATAATTACAGTGCATACTTAACTTGATGAAATTTTGCTGTATTTCTCCACAGAAATTTCATGTAATTATTTTGCTCCTTCATGGGAGTTTATTCACTCTTAGAATGTACTACTATACTTCCGTTGTCTCAAATTTTAATTCACTGTGTCTTTCTCCATGGAATCATAGTCATTTATGTTCATTTTACTTTCAAGCCTGAATGTCTGTATGTCAAAAGGTTGACACTCCATGATGCAAAGCAGCTGAGTGAATGAAAACCTCCAGATCCAGATTATAATGCCCATATAAGAAGGCTAGCTGCAAAGGAAAGAGGTTCTTACGTTCCTCATTTGCATGTTCCCAATCATAGCCCAATCTTACAGAGATTTCACACATTTTTAAAGGAATAACTCTCAGCCAAAGACAGTGCTAAAATGATAGCAGCATTTCTTGGCATTTTGTCTCTCTGTACGTTGCATCTTATTTATATTTGCACCTGGTTCATC